GATCGGCGCTTCAGCATTAAGCTCGAGGAGACCTTCGATGTTCATACGGTATGCAACGACGGCAATAGTTTTTTTCGTAATTAAGCACGACTTCAACTATTTTAATGTGTATTTTTCATCGTTTCCAATTCGACTAGCTTATCTCATGCTATGCAAGACGCTATGTCTTGGAGAGGATGGGTTTTGAAGACCATGAAAGTATGGAAACCAAAAGAATTCTCCTAAGGATCCATCATGGTGTGGATTTTAATGTAAAGCTGTACAATGCTGGGAGTGTAACCCATTTTGGTTGCAAAAATTAGGAAGCACTTTGCAAGATGTATGGTTTTGATGAGGTTATGCTTGTCACCATGGATCTTGGTGATCCTACAATCGAGCAAGACAGATCTTCGATTTGGGTCCTTGTGGATACACCTCCAATTCTTCCCCCATGTGAGCTTAACATAGTTATTAAGTAATTTATATTGTTTATTTCAAAATAGTTGACAACGTATTTCCATTGACAGCTTATTTTCATTCTTCAAAGAATGTGCGGAAGATGATAGACAAAACCCACTACACCGATGGCTCCGAATTAACTTATAAGGAGAAAAATCATCTGATCGCATTTTGTACTAATCTTGAGAATTACAATATCTACAATCGAACTCCTCAACATTATGGTCAATACGTGCCACTAGTGCACGTGTTGAACTACGGTAACTACCATGGAGACACACTAGTAAGATTTTTTACTATTACGACATCTCTGCATCTTTTTAAATACTTCTAAAACTAGTACATCATTGCTAACTACGAAGTTATTACTATGTTTTTTAACAGATAATCCCTAATGATTGTGTGCCTCATTTGATGTGTACGCACGGTCGCCTTGATGTTTTGAACATACAACCAGGTCGTCCTACGAATCTCAACTGTCCATACCGGATTTCTAAAAGAAGTGGAGACATGACAATCAAAGAACGGAAAAAATGTATGGACAGTCGTAAGGAGCTTCTTGGAAGCAAAAGGAGGCGAAGCGCAAGAATTGGAGACAGGATGGTCTCCATTCTTCATAATGGAGAGTCAGGGTCTATATTGTTTTATGCTATTTTACCTTAAGGATGTTTAGGTCCTACCTGATAATGATGATCATGTGCTAAGAATAATTATGTAGGGTTGGGTTCGATGACTATGAGGATGATGATCGTATGACTTGTTATTAATAACGAGTAGAAGTTGTATGATGATGCATGATTAGTAGGACTTGTTATTATATATGATGATGTATGATGCGAGCATGCATGAGTTATTATATATCAGCGGGTGAAATGAACATAGCAGTAGCGTTGGTAAACCAAGGATGAAGATATAAGAGAGGACACTTCTCTCTATTAGCTAGCTAATAACAACCTAAAATTAACCCCCAAAACCCCTAAACCAACCACTTTTTTTAAAAAAAAAGAAAAACCTAAGCTCCAGCCAGCTGCTGACACGTGGAAGCCTTTTGGTCCCGGTTCATGTCACCAACCGGGACCAAAGGCCCCCTTGCCTGGGCTGCTCGCAGTGGCCACGTGGAGGCTCATCTGTCCCGGTTCGTGTAAGAACCGAGACTAAAGGGAGGAGGCATTAGTAACAACCCTTTAGTCCCGGTTCAAGAACCGGGACAAAAGGCCCTCACCAACCGGGACAAATGCCCTGTTTTCTACTAGTGGCGTCATCTTTGGGGTCAACATGGTTGGGTGTTTCTTGCTGCCGGAATGTTGGTGGTGGTGGTGCAACCGGTTAGGGTTGACGGTGGTTCGTGTGGCTGCTGTCCTGCTATCTATGTGATCGTCTTCGGTGGTGTTCCATGGTGTCGGCCATGTTGTTGTGCATGTTCAAGTACCTCCCTTGGTGGCTATTGTGTTGTGGTGAGTTTAGCGCTCTTGGTGTTGTTCTGGTTCATCTTTGCTCTTCGACGACGCAAGATGCCTCCCCAACTTGCTAATTGTTTCGAATTTTTATGGCGGAGCTCCCAGTCAAGGTTTGTGTTGTCACTCGTTGGTTGTGGTTGCTCCTGAGTTGTGTCGTGAGGTTCAGTATGCACATCAGTGAAATGCGTTAGGTTGCTTGCTTAGTTTTGGTATTGTGATCCTTCGACGACACTCCACTTCTACTTGTGCCTCCTATGGTGTTCGTCCTTTGATCTGATAGCTAGGTCGGGCCTTGTCCTGGGCGTCCTTTTTTCTCCTATCTTGTAATCTTCTTACTTACTCCCTCCGTCCGCGAATAGGTGTACTTCTAGCTTTTATCTTAAGTCAAAGCTTTAAAACTTTGACCAAATTTATAGAAAAAAGTAGTAGCATTTATGGCACTAAATTAGTATCACTAGATCCGTTTTGAAATGTACTTTCATAATATATCAATTTGATGTCATATATGTTTCTACTCTTTTGTATATAGTTGGTCAAAATTTTAAAACTTTGACTTAGAACAAAAGCTAGAAGTACACTTATTCGCGGACGAAGGGAGTATATGGTTTTCAGCCCGGTTTTCCTCATAAACAGGGTCAACAAGGTTTTCGATCCAGTTTATAAACTTAAGGGGTGACTCTTGGTTGGCAGTAAAAATAATTCATTTTTTTCAGATGAAGATATATTTGAATCACACACGCCGACAGATACGAGGCACGAGGACAATTTGGCTTAGCCACTCGTGCTAATTGGACAGGCATGCATCCCATATGAGAGTTATTATGTTACAGTATCTACCTATGTTACTATAACCATCTCTTCTTTTTAATTGCCTGCCACATAAGCATATTTGCGAGTCCCAAGTGCATGATACTACTTAGGTAGTATCATAAGTTAGTATCATGCATATGATACTAGTATATGATACTATCTCCCTAATGCATAGTATCATATGGTAGTATCATAGATGACTTTATTTATTGCCATGCATGACACATAGTGTAGCATTTATTATGATACGGTATCATGATATGATACTCAACCCTCTCTTACTTCATTTAATTCTATGCCACCTTATCAAAGTTGCCTAGTTGGCATGCATGATACTAACTATGATACTCCCATTACAACCAGCCTTATGTTACCCCCACTATGGCCGGCCTAATGTAATACTTTATTTATTGTCATGCATGGCACATAGTAGTCTAGCATTTATTATGATACGGTATCATGATATGATATTCAACTATCTCTTCATTTAATTTTGTGACACCTCATCAAAATTGTCTAATTAGCATGTATGATACTAACTATAATACTATCGTTACGAGCGTAGCCGCCGCCCGCGATTGCCAGAGAAGAAATCAAAGAAACATTCAAGGCCGAGAGGGACCGAAGGATTAACTGCAAAGAAAGCTGCAGCTCCAAGCATCGCCGGGGCCGCCGGAATCTACCTAGGTACGGTCGCGCGCGTGCGTACATATATAGCTCTGCAAAATACTCCTATGGACCTTGGCTTGGCCGAAGACAAATCAGCGCTACATAACTTATGCTCCTTGGTCCTTGCACAACAACAATTACGTACTCTAGCTGGCCAGTGGCAGCTTGTAGCTTGGTTCTCACGTACGGCTGCTACAATGACAGCGCGTTTTTTTATTCCTTCTCTAGGAGTCCGATGAGTCCGATGCACCGCGTGTTGTATATTCGGATGTGAAGATATATATACAATTGGTTTGTACTCCCTACGTAAACTAATATAAGAGCGCACACTCTTATATTAGTTTAAGGAGGGAGTATTTTGTAGTTGTATCCACTGGGCGTCAGCTGTTCTCCCAACGTTCAGTGGCATGTTATGAACCAAACATGGTGAAGTGTATGTCGGACTTGGCAATGCTTCCTTCTTCTCCCACTACCGTGGCGGCTAGGGAGAAGCTTCATTCATTCCATGCTCTGCCGGCGGGCCCATGGACTCATCTTCTCTCTATCCGCCGGTCTTGAGGTCGGCGACATTGGGGGAAGTCCCGGTGCATCGGTCCTGCTAGTAATTTAGATTAGATTTTCTTAGTCTGTAGGTGCGGTATTGTGGCAGATGGCGGTGCTTCATCTTTGAGCTGGTCTTTCAAATTTCAATCCTCCTCGAGTTTTGTTGGAGCGGTGATGATGGAGCTCTGGCTAAATTCCTGTCGTCTACTTGGGGTGCTGAGTTTAGGTTTTTTGATTGTGTGTGCAAGATGACGGGATTTGGTGTCACACTCTTCACGTCAGTTGGCGACAGCTGTAACTCTTGAGTACTGATCTTTACGGGCACGCGTATTAATACTTTCTGGCTGTCATCGACAAGGTTTGACCGGCTCTGATAAAGGAGCGACAACTTTCGTGCGCGTCGGTGGCTCATTTTACCAATGGTAGTGGTGGTTCACTGGTCCATAGATCTCGGTCTGATTCTTATTATGTTTATGGAGCTTTGTAATTCTGGTGAACCTTTATAATAAATTGGGTCCTTCTCGCAAAAATAGAAGCTTAAGTCAGTGTCTTTCACTGCTTGACATTCCTTTGCGATAGAGGAATTTAGTGGCAGTTGGAATGATGGTTGTTATCTTGTATCTTTGGAAAATACGAAAAAAAAAGAGGAAATGAGTCAAAGGTTCTTTCTCAGCGATCCAGAAGACTCACAGTGGTTTCAGCCCAAGTATTCAACATAGCTCATGCGTCTCTTTCCCTGTTGCCTCTCATGTGTTTTTTTTTTGAAAGGGCCTCTCATGTGTTTTACATGTGCCGTGTTTTCTACAAGCCACTATGGTGTCGTACCGAAATCAGGGGAGAGCCCTGTTAATGAACAAAACAAGTAATCCCCACACAAAAAAAAAAGAACAGAACCATGTTTTGCAAGAGAAAAGAAAGCTACTCATCCAGGGACAATTAATATGGATCGGAGGGAGTACAACATGCTTTGGTTCCATGGTATATCATTCAATTTCAAATTTACCTTTCGTTCTTCATAATATGGCTTGATAAGCCTCGGAGATGCCTGTTTTTTCTTTTTTTGACAAAGAGAATGACGACCCATCATCTATTCATTGATTGGTGCATATAACCATACACTATTATTTTCTTAAAGTTCACAAGAAAATTCATGCATCGACGTTGTACATTGTCTTAAAAATAAGAAAAATCCAATCCATTAAACACAACTAATTTAAGTGATCAACCTTCGGGCGAGGAGTGGAGTCGCTGAATCCGATTCCCTTCCTTTTCGTGGGGAAGATGGTGAACACAACTGTGGATAGAAACGCCATGCCGAGCGGCAGGTTCTTGAGCAGCTCTTGGGCGTTCCTGCTGGCGTCCGGGAAGAAGCAGTTTTGCAACCCCACGTCACTGAACGCCACCGTCAGGAAAAGCACGGCCGCGAACAAGGAGTGCACAAAGTCCAGCGGCCGGAGGTGCAGACTCCGGAGCTGGTCCCTGCTCCACTCATGGCTCTCGTCCTCCCTGGAGAAGTCAAACACGTTGAAGCCGCGCGGAGTGGCTAAGCCGTAGTAGAGCTTTCCGTCACGGCTGACGATGCTGTCGGTAAAAGAAAAGAAGAGGCACATGACGGTGAGGACGACAACCAGCGCCACGGTGAGCCACTGGTTGGAGGTCTCGCACTTGCCGTGGTTGGTGAAGGACGGGCTTAGCGCCTGGTATGCCAGCACAGTGCCTGTCGGCAGGAGCTGCGCAAGGTTTGCCACGCCTGACATGACCCTGTCCATGGTAGGGGTTGCCGTTGGCGGTGGTACCGTGTCCGGGACTGGTATCTCATTGTCGTCGTCGACGTCCTTGGTGGCGGTCGGAGGAGTTATCTGGATCGCCGTGGACGAGGGAGAAGAAGAAGTTGCCATTGTAGGTACTAAGCTCGATATGGGCGTGTGCGTGCGTGTTCTAGGTTCCAGCTAGAAATAGTCCAAGCTGATCTACACCTTCTTGTTTTATAGGAAAATTAATCCATTGATGATTCCAAAGTCCAACGCTGTCGCACATGATTTGCTGGGTGCTGGAAGGGCTATACATCCATTCGTGTACGGAGACTTCAACTCTCTAGCTAGCTTTGTTTAACATAGTTAGTGCAGGTTATAAATCACATTTTTCTCTTATTTCAAAAGGTGATTTCTTAGATACTCCCTCCGTTCCATAATGTACTGCGCCCACGCTCCCCAGATCCAACTTTGAATTTAAATTTAACCAACGAGACCGACTGCGGCGGGAATAAAAATTATACCACTAAATTGATATCGAAAAACTGAATTCACTAGTATAATTTTTGCTCCCGCCACAGTAGGTCTCGGTAGTTAAATTTACGATCAAACTTGAATCTTGAAAAGCGCGGGCGCATTATATTATGAAATGGAGGGAGTATCAAAAAGAAGGTTGAGATCCGGGCCTCGATATTATTCTGATGCATGCAGCTTCTTTTATTGAACTTGATGCAAGACGAGTGAAAAAATAAAGCGCTAGTCGCTGCTAACAGGACACTATAGCGTTTTAAAAAGTGACATCTAACTAATCAATGTACAATGTGATATAGTATGCTAATAGCATATTTTCAAACTTAGTATTTTTCTACGTTTGGGATGAGCGGTAAGCTATCTAAAAACCATATTTCGTAGGAATGTGTAATAAAGTTGCGACTCATGGTGCAGATACGGCCCCAAGCCCCATGGTCAGACTGTTCACCTTTTTTTTAGAAGAACATGGAGGCCTCTCTCCGGTTCCATTAACCAGAATGAAACCATACAGAGTCTTAACAGCTACTAAGCTAAGGTTCATTGTCCAGGCTTTAAACCGTTATTACAGCCCTGCTCGACAAGAGCCAAAGGGCAAAAACGAAAACACAATGAAGGCAAAAACAGGCGCCTGTTAAAACAGGGGTGAGATCACACCACAAACTCGCTCGCGCCCCTCCTCTTGAGTGGTGGTGCCAGGGCCGCTTGGGGCGACCAGCAGATTGCGAGGGTAGACACGGGGCTATTCACCATGGTCTTGCCGTCAGTGTCGCGCTTCTTGGCAAGAGAAAAGAAACCGCCGTCTTCAGAAATCTTGAGGTTGTCCCAGCATACACCAGCATCCAATCCAGGGTTCCTAGCCTTCAGCCATATGAGATCATCAAGGGTTGCTGGATTAGCTTCGCCAGCGCACTCAGGAACTCTTCCACTCGGCTTTTGCTTGCTTCTGGGGTCAGAACCACCCAGGACTTGAGCATCCTGTGTATCGGTCTCCACACCTGATTAATAGACGTCCAAATGGTGTTATTAAAAATCATAGAGTTCCTATATTTCCATAAACACCAAAGGACAGCCGAATAACTACGTTTGAAGCTAAATTCTTTTTATTAGAGATCCAAAATCGGGCCACAGATTCAAAGTTTGTACCCAAGTCCTTTTGGAAAAAGAGATTGACAAACGACCAAATATTCCTGGCTACAACACAGTCAAAAAATAAATGGTGGTTTGTTCTTGTTCAGCACAGAAAACACAATCAAGTGGTTTGATTATATGTCTTTTCCTCAGGTTGTCTCTAGTCATCAGCTTGTTTTGGGAAAACAGCGAAAGGAAGACATGAATCTTTTGGGGCACTACCAATTTCCAAACAGCTGGCAGGAACAGGGGTTGCACCCCTCTAAAGTTAATCACATGGTACAAAGAACTAGAGGAGTAGACACCCTTATTCTCAAGTTGCCAGATCAGAGCATCAGAATCACCATCGAAGATGATTTCTTTAGCAATCTCCACTAGCTGGTACCATTGTTCCATCATCTTACTGCCAAAGTTCCTCCTAAAGGTCAACTTCAGTGTTTCACCATCCCAGACATCTCTGGCACTTTTATTTTGCTCATTGCAAATCATATATATGTGCCAGAATTGTACTGCTAGGGGGGAGGTGCCAAACCAAGTATCTTCCCAAAACCTAATATTGTCTCCTGTCCCTATTTTCCATCTATATCCAAATTTCAAGGTTTGGGTGATGGACTTCACTCCTTTCCAGAACCTAGAGGTACTGGCGGAGGTGCTTGGGGCAAAAATATTAGTTTTGCCCCTCATATATTTCTGGTCTATCATCATCTTTCAGGGTTTCCCTTCACCTTCATAGTATCTTTTAACCCAAGATCCTAAGAGGCAGAGGTTCACCTATTTTCGTAAGTGTTTTCCAATGATTTTGCTTTGCACATGGTTTAATGGATGGATAGCATCATGGCAATACGCATAGCATGAGAGAAGCTGCTAGAGATTGGTACTCCCTCTGTTCCTAAATATTTGTCTTTTCGAGATTTGAAATAGACTACCACGTACGGATGTATATAGACATATTTTAGAGTGTAGATTCACTCATTTTGCTCCGTATGTAGTCACTTGTTGAAATCACTAAAAAGACAAATATTTAGGAACGGAGGGAGTAGTATCTCACACACACGAAGTTTTTGCAAGCCAGCACACATGCACCTAGATGAACAGTAAAATCTAAAAAATAAAAAAATGTGATAAACACTGATGTGTGTTTCACCTGCGTGTAAATTTGGAAGCATTTGGAAACATCAATTATGTTCTGCTGCCCAGGCCTCCATGAATGTCATTTCATCATGGAAATTTGCATACATGTTTAACACTCATCAATGTTTCTTGGCAAAAAGTTCAGAAATTTTTGAAATCCTTTTAGTATTTTTTTTTCTGATTTTACTGTTTATATCAGATGCATATGAGGTCGTGCGCAGAGAGAATCTAGTACTCCTATTCATGGTCGCCGGAGCAGAAAATCGATGAAAGATTCACATGCATGGACCAACGACGAAGTAAACGGAAAGGAACGTGCGCGTCCGTGCATGGACAACGCTGCAACGTACTATATACAGACTTGAAAGAAACAACACACTAACATATTACATCCAACTTGGAGAAAAGAATTTGCACCGAGCCAAGTAGCTAGCTAGCTACCTATAGCAGCTTTTCCTTCTCACGGCTGCTAGAGTAACCATCGTTTTTTTATCCTTTGCCGAGTCAGAGGAATCTCGGCCCATTGTATACGTACAAAACAATGGAAGATGAGTAGTACTTCTAGCGATGCCGCAACAGAGGTGATGCGGACACAAACATTACTTGTTGATGAGCATGCTCCGGTTGCACTTCAATGTCGTGGCAATATTGGGGCAACATATCCGCTAATCCGGTCTTCCATACGAGGAATAACCAGATGCATGCATCGAGGTAGGTTATCATTTTGCAAGCTGTGTGACACAAAGTTTATTGGAAATTCGATTCATACCCAAAGGTGATATGTTGCGACGGAGGGAGGATGTTATGATTTAATCAGTTAAGATGTTGCGGAGTTCTTATAACCAGTACGTCTATAAATCAGATTTTTCTTGGATCTCATTCTCGATTCACACGTTGTAAAAGGTTTTTTTTTTTTTTTTTTTGTAAATGCTCTGGCGAGGCTGTCGCAGTCCTTGGTAGCATAGTAGAGGGTCTTCTGACCATCTGCAGACCTGAATCAACCGGATGCTTCTGATTTTGCTATGGGAATAGTGGCCCTGGCAACGCCATCCTAATCCTTAGCCCATTCTGCAGAGAATGATGATCCACGGCACATGGGCGCATTGACAAGGGCATCTAACGACTAGGGATGCCAAAAACAGCAAATCCAACGGCGGAAATTGCTAGTGCTCTAAGATGGACGGATTAATGTCCTATTTTAATGTATCTAAATGTATATATGTGGCCTCCTCACTCCGCTTCTTACACCGCAAGTTTTAGATTTGTCCACATTTTTTTTACTGAAATGGCGCCTATCCAATTGATTTAGGTGTTTATCCAATAAGTGTTTATGGTAAACTTCTAGACTAATTTGTTTCATACAAGTATTGTACTCATTATAAATGAATGGAGAATTGAGATAAGAAAGAAGTGTAACGTATGTGTCGCCAAATAGGAGAGACCTTTTGATAAAAAAATAGATTTAGTTAATGATTTTTTGTACAAAATAGTAAAAACATCAAGCTTGATGCAAACAAAGTGAATGGGGAGCTCTAATAAGCCTGGGAGGCTGGGACGCAGGGCACCAACATAATTGTACACTTGCTTTGGACAAAAAATATGTCCTTGTTTACAAAAGAACCATGGCACACACACTGAACATATATAATTAAAAAACTTCATGATTTTTCTCCAACATGATACAATCAAGCAACTTCTACGCCTGCGAGGAGCGGCGTCGTCAAATCCGATTGAGCATGACTTTCCTGAAGGATTCAATTTTTCTTCAATCAATTTCTGGCAAGTGGCAACTTCAAGTTATGGGGACATACTTTACTAATTTATGGGATGGACCACCTTCTGGGGAGGAGCGGTGTCACTGAATCCAATGCCCTTCCTTTTGGTGGGGAAGATGATGAACACAAAACTGGAGAGAAACGCCATGCCCATGGGCAGATTCTTGAGCAGCTCCTCGGTGTTCCTGCCGGCGTCCTGAAAGAAACAATTCTGCAGCCCCACGTCGCTGAAAGCTACCGTGAGGAAAACCACCGCCGCGAAGAAGGCGTGCACGAAGTCCAGTGGTCGGAGGCGGAGCCTCCGGAATTGGTCGAGATCGTCCCACTCTTGCCTCTCCTCCTCGCTGGAGAAGTTGAAAACATTGAAGCCGTGCAGTGTGGCGAAGCCATAGTATAGCTTTCCATCGCGGCGACCGACAACACTGTCGGTGAACGAGAAGAAGAGGCACAAGA